ACTTCCCCCACACAGCTGCAGGTTATCCTCACCTTGACAGGATTTATCAACTCCGGAAACAGGAAACACTACGCATCATGTTGAGACGTTTTTCATAGCTATACGTGGAAAAACTAAACATTTTTTAATTCTATACCGACCCCTATCGTGTTCTTCCAACACGTTACAGACATTGATCATAAATAGTTCCTGCTTAGGTGTTTTCAATATAACAGCGTTCACAACTGGTTACATGAGCTGGTTCTCAGAGATGCATAGAGACGTCCTTCTGATACATAGAGACGTCCTTCTGACGATACACAGAGACGTCCTTCTGACGATACATAGAGACGTCCTTCTGATACATAGAGACGTCCTTCTGATACATAGAGACGTCCTTCTGACGATACATATAGACGTCCTTCTGACGATACATAGAGACGTCCTTCTGATGATACATAGAGACGTCCTTCTGATGATACATAGAGACGTCCTTCTGATGATACATAGAGACGTCCTTACATAGAGACGTCCTTCTGATGATACATAGAGACGTCCTTCTGATACATAGAGACGTCCTTCTGATGATACATAGGGACGTCCTTCTGATACATAGAGACGTCCTTCTGACGATACATATAGACGTCCTTCTGATACATAGGGACGTCCTTCTGATACATAGAGACGTCCTTCTGATGATACATAGAGACGTCCTTCTGACGATACATAGAGACGTCCTTCTGATACATAGAGACGTCCTTCTGATGATACATATAGACGTCCTTCTTAGAGACGTCCTTCTGATACATAGAGACGTCCTGATACATAGAGACGTCCTTCTGATACATAGAGACGTCCTTCTGATGATACATAGAGACGTCCTTCTGACGATACATAGAGACGTCCTTCTGATACATAGAGACGTCCTTCTGACGATACATAGAGACGTCCTTCTGACGATACATAGAGACGTCCTTCTGACGATACATAGAGACGTCCTTCTGACGATACATAGAGACGTCCTTCTGACGATACATAGAGACGTCCTTCTGACGATACATAGAGACGTCCTTCTGACGATACATAGAGACGTCCTTCCTGATACATAGAGACGTCCTTCTGACGATGGGGCGGTGGGGTAGCCTGGTGGTATTTAGCGTTCAATCGTCACGCTGAATACCCGGGTTCGATTCCCCACATTGGTACAATATGTGAAACCCATTTTTGGTGTCCCCCGCCATGATATTGCTGGAATACTGCTAAAGGTGGCATAAAACCATCCTCACTCACTCACTCCTCTGACGATACATAGAGACGTCCTTCTGATATGACCGGCAACAGGTTGCCCCCAGAGCACTGAGGTTCAGTGCACTACGATCTCCTTTCAAAGAGATTGTACACTGTTCTATATAACAAGGTCCGTCTATTACTTTGCACAAAGCACGGACTGTCCTGCATCAGTCATCTCCTTGCAACACAGAATCATTTCCTGTATGACACTGCGGGCACGTCAGCGATGGGGGGATGAGGATGAGTCTTGCTCGGGAATGACTGGGACATTGTTTTAGAAAGGATGCGACTTGTATGATAAGTTAACGGTATGTTAAACGCCCCGATTCTGACAGCTCCTGGGTGAGTTTGGGAAATCCCAGAATATTCGAAGATTGAGACATTCCAGTATATTCGAAGTTTGAGACATTCCAGTATATTCGAAGTTTGAGACATTCCAGTATATTCGAAGTTTGGGAAATTCCAGTATAATAAAAGTTTGAAAATTTTAGAACATTCCAAGTTTGGGAAATTCCAGAATATTCGACGTTTTGGAAATCCCAGAATATTCTAAGTTTACGAAATTCCAGAATATTCGAATTTTGAGAAATTTCAGATTATTCGAAGTTTTAGCAATTCCAGTATATTCAACTTGGGTTCAAGAACCGAACTTTGCATACGACTGTCGAAGCCAGTGTTAAACCGTGGCTACGATCATCTTAGTGCTAAGACATCTTTGTGGAACTGGATCCATCATTAAATGGACGCGACATTAACATGGCTAACTTTGGTGAATGATTGGATTACAACCAATTATCGTATTGGCAGTGTTTCAGACAGACGTGCAGTGAAGTCAGTACAGCTCACAATACAATCATTCTGAAGCTTGCATGTATGATGCTATTGCTGTAACTCTCAAATTAGAAACTTTCTAATTAACATTGAGCAGATACAACCATCCTATAGATATGAATATTGTATAGATACAAACATTGTGCAAATCCAAATATTATATAAATACAAACATTGTATAGACACAAATATTGTATGAATACAATCTTTCCATAGATACAAATATTCCATAGAGACAAACATTGCATAAATCCAAATACAATATTAATACAAACTTTGTATAGATACAAACATTGTATGAATACAATCTTTCCATAGATACAAATATTCCATAGAGACAAACATTGTATAAATCCAAATACAATATTAATACAAACATTGTATAGACACAAATATTGTATGAATACAATCTTTCCATAGATACAAATATTACATGGAGACAAACATTGTATAAATCCAAATACAATATTAATACAAACATTGTATAGACACAAATATTGTACAGATACAAACATTGTACAGATGCAAAGAGAACGGATCTTATGCGCTTGCCCAATGAAAGAATTTACTTCTCACAGAAATATAGACTTACACTTAAATAATTCTCTTTAGTAATACACATAATACACATGGAACACGCCTCTCCTGCTTACCTGGAATTTCTTATTTGTAAGGCTAGAATTACAACTTATCGTATCCATGGACCTTTCATTCAGGACACAATCGTGAAGGTCCCAGCTAGAATTGATCTTCAGTAACCCATGCTTGTCGTAAGAGGCGACTAACGGGATCGGGTGGTCAGGTGACTTGGTTGACACATGTCAATTGCGCAGATCGATGCTCATGCTGTTGATCACTGGATCGTCTGGTCCAGACTCAATTATTTACAGACCGCCGTCATATAGCTGGAATATTGCTGAGTGTGGCGTAAAACTAAACTCACTCACTCATTTAGGACATCCTTTAAGCAAGTCTCTGTGTTCCTCCCTGACAGAACGAACATGAACTTCATTTTCAACGCAACATCGGTTATGCAATTTACAGACCACTGCTTGACATTAAGTGTGTATAGCACGGAGAGTGCATATCCTGTGTTAGGAATACATATGATTATGACTTGGTCACAACATCAAACCGTTTCCTTCCTCTGTCCTCTTTCACAGAGAAATGTCAGTATAGTCAAACACTGTCCAAGTTGAAGGGACCAACGTAATAGTTCGAGCTATCCGAGGTTCTACATAACGTGACATGATGACTAAACAATATATATGCATGGACCAAGGGTTTACTTCGAGACAAGCGTACGTTCGACTCAACAGTGTTGAAATTAGACTGAAGAAATGACGATAAGCATTCAGCCAGTACCATTAGTTTACTACGATGTGTTTCTTAATATAGGTATAAGGGATTTTACCGAAACTCCCAAATTTCGCATTTTACTAAAACAAACAGTCAATTTTTATCATTTTAATCACGCTTTCAACGAGTTCCTGTTATTACACGCTTGTTTGCGGAGGCGTCGGTGTGACCGAGGCTTGTGTTGCAATTACATTAAAAATATTGTCTGAGGTGTCAACATTTCACATAGAGGCAGATGACGTCAATGACGTCGTGGTGCCTACGTCACGCTGGACAGATGACGCTGGATGACGTGAACGTCACAGCAACGTAAACATGTCACCTAACTGGAACAACATCTGGGCTCCTCTGTAACCTGCCCCAGGAGCACGTGGGGCACAGATGTTATATGAACATTGATATCCCTGGCTTCCTTGTAATAAGACTGTGTATCGTAAAACCTGAAATAAAAGCTTGAAAATCTTTTCAGATTTCTTATCAAGGCAGAAATGAAGTATGTTTAAAATCATGGATACTTATATGTATTTGTGTTAATTGAACATTTCATCAATTTTTTTATATGAACGCGAGTTTAAAAATAATTCTATTCGTAAGGGTACTATTACTATTCATCTATGCAAGCCATGAATTTATATCTAGAGGGGCGGTGGGGTAGCCTAGTGGTTAAAGCGTTCGCTCGTCACGCCGAAGACCCGGGTTCGATTCCCCACATGGGCACAATGTGTGAAGCCCATTTCTGGTGTCCCCCGCCGTGATATTGCTGGAAAATTGCTTAAAGCGGCGTAAGGCACGTTCGCTCGTTATACCTAGATAATTCCTGTGCGGGTGTTTATACAAACCTACCCGTGAAGACCCGGAACTGTTCTTTAGCCACCCATGCTTATTGTAAGAGGCGACTAACGGGATCGGGTGGCCAGGCTCGCTGACTTGGTTGACACATGTCATAGTAGATCGATGCTCATGATGTCGATCACTGGCTCGTCTGGTCTAGACTCGATCATTTACAGACCGCCGGCATACCTGGAATATTGCGTACATCTAGTGACATTAAATGTTACATTCATATCAATAATTGTACATGCAAGGATGAAAACGTGGTAAATTACAGAACCGCTGGCCTCAGTTACTGTTAATTTACTGGCGATACCGTTGTATATTTCCCAGGCAACGCTGTCAGTTACGGTTAATTTACTGGCGATAACGTTGTATATTTCCCAGGCAACGCTGTCAGTTACTGTTAATTTACTGGCGATAACGTTGTATATTTCCCAGGCAACGCTGTCAGTTACTGTTAATTTACTGGCGATAACGTTGTATATTTCCCAGGCAACGCTGTCAGTTACTGTTAATTTACTGGCGATAACGTTGTATATTTCCCAGGCAACGCTGTCAGTTACTGTTAATTTACTGGCGATAACGTTGTATATTTCCCAGGCAACGCTGTCAGTTACTGTTAATTTACTGGCGATAACGTTGTATATTTCCCAGGCAACGCTGTCAGTTACTGTACATATAATGGCAATACGTTGTATATATTTCAGAGCCGCTCATCACCCTGGTGGATGGACAGAATGTTAACGAAGGCCGGGTGGAAATCTACCACAAGGGCCAGTGGGGCACCATCTGCAACACAAGCCTCGGTCACACCGACGCCTCCGCCATTTGCCGCCATCTTGGATACCTAGGTGGTATTGCGGCCGGCAGGGGGCAGTTCGGTTCCGGTTCCGGTATTAACTGGGGTTTCAATGTTACGTGTCTGCGCACTTTCCAGTGCCCCGCTATATCACTTGACACCGAGGCCAAGTCTTGCAGTCACCATGGAGACTTTGCGGTAATCTGTGGTAAGTTTCCGAGACTGATAATGAATGTATGATAAAATGTGGCACAGGCACTGCAGCTTCTCCGTTGAAGGTATTTGAGGCGTCCATAGTATGTTTCCCGGCTGCTAGTACCATGCCGTGCTCTTGGAGGTCACCAAAGTGGTAAACGATGAAACCTGCAGAGTGAGTGAGTGCGTATAGCAATATTCCAGCAATTTCACGGCGGGGGACACCGGACATGGGCTTCACACATTGTACCCATGAGCGGAATCGAACCCGGGTTTTCGGTGTGACGAGCAAACGCTTTAACCACTAGGCTAGCCACCGAAAATCGTGAATGTGAAAAGTGTATCCATTTCTTTGTCTCCCTCAGTCAAAAACAATACACTGCAGGGATAAAGGATAAACTGTTCCAGAGTATATCTTAACGAAAGTCATCCAAGAGAACGCCTCACCTCTTCGTTTTCCCAACCCCGTTCCCAATATCGTGAGTGTGAAACAACTTAATCATGGCTTTGTCTCCATCAATAAAAAAACACTGACAATGTGTATTCGGTATCTTTAAAGCATTTAACTTATCAAAGAAGGTGTTGTTCTAACGACATGCTGTGAGGAAAGATCTACACATATCAGCTGTGAGTTTAGATCTTAATGCGCATTAGGAACACGTGTTTGTTGTCCTAGCTTCCATCTACAAGGCAATCTGTTAGCCACCCTCCGTCTTGTGTGCAGGGAGATCACAGCATGTACTTGTCACGTTATACACTTTTGTAACATTATACTGAACGGTACCTACAGCAGGTGCGTACTTATCGTAACATTATACAGAGCGGAGTATTCAACAGGTGCGTACTTATCGTAACATTAAACAGAACACTGCGTACTTAAGATAATGGAGAACGGTGCCTGCAGCAGGTGCGTACTTATCGTAACATTGTCCATAACGGTGCCTGCAGCAGGAGCGTACTTATCGTAACATTGTACATAACGGTGCCTGCAGCAGGTGCGCACTTATCGTAACATTGTACACAACGGTGCCTGCAGCAGGATGTACTTATCGTAACATTGTACACAACGGTGCCTGCAGCAGGTGCGTACTTATCGTAACATTGTACACAACGGTGCCTGCAGCAGGTGCGTACTTATCGTAACATTGTCCATAACGGTGCCTGCAGCAGGAGCGTACTTATCGTAACATTGTACATAACGGTGCCTGCAGCAGGTGCGCACTTATCGTAACATTGTACACAACGGTGCCTGCAGCAGGTGCGTACTTATCGTAACATTGTACATAACGGTGCCTGCAGCAGGATGTACTTATCGTAACATTATAGAGAACGGTGCGTACTTAAGATAATGGAGAACGGTGCCTGCAGCAGGTGCGTACTTATCGTAACATTGTACATAACGGTGCCTGCAGCAGGTGCGTACTTATCGTAACATTGTCCATAACGGTGCCTGCAGCAGGAGCGTACTTATCGTAACATTGTCCATAACGGTGCCTCCAGCAGGTGCGCACTTATCGTAACATTGTACACAACGGTGCCTGCAGCAGGTGCGTACTTATCGTAACATTGTACATAACGGTGCCTGCAGCAGGAGCGTACTTATCGTAACATTGTACATAACGGTGCCTGCAGCAGGATGTACTTACCGTAACATTGTACATAACGGTGCCTGCAGCAGGTGCGTACTTATCGTAACATTGTACATAACGGTGCCTGCAGCAGGTGCGTACTTATCGTAACATTGTCCATAACGGTGCCTGCAGCAGGAGCGTACTAATCGTAACATTGTACATAACGGTGCCTGCAGCAGGTGCGCACTTATCGTAACATTGTACACAACGGTGCCTGCAGCAGGTGCGTACTTATCGTAACATTGTACATAACGGTGCCTGCAGCAGGAGCGTACTTATCGTAACATTGTACATAACGGTGCCTGCAGCAGGTGCGTACTTATCGTAACATTGTCCATAACGGTGCCTGCAGCAGGAGCGTACTTATCGTAACATTGTACATAACGGTGCCTGCAGCAGGTGCGCACTTATCGTAACATTGTACATAACGGTGCCTGCAGCAGGTGCGTACTTATCGTAACAGTGTACACAACGGTGCCTGCAGCAGGTTCGTACTTATCGTAACATTGTACATAACGGTGCCTGCAGCAGGATGTACTTATCGTAACATTATAGAGAACGGTGCGTACTTAAGATAATGGAGAACGGTGCCTGCAGCAGGTGCGTACTTATCGTAACATTATAGAGAACGATACCTACATTAGGTGCGTACTTAATGTAACATTGTACAAAACGGTAAGCACGAACCTGATTGCGCGATTGTTCGGTATAATGCTGTGGCTAGAACGAACCTGTTGCAGTCACCATTCTGTACAATGTTACAAGTAAATATGTACCTGATCACGCCATCGTTCTCATGCGCATCCAGGGGCAGGGGCAGGGGTCGCACCCCCTTTGTGCTGAATGTTTCTTAAATGACCATTGCAACTCGGGTGTAAATGAAGTGTGCACCCCTCCTTTTCTCAACAGTGTGCACCCCCCGCCCCCTTTTCTCAAAAAGCTGTATCCGCCCCTGGTTCTGTTCAAAGTTATAGTAAGTACGAACCTGTTCCAGTCACCATTCCGTTACGATAAGTACGAATCTGCTATTTGTCCCTACAGCTCAGTGCATTTTCGAGAGGGGAAACGCGAAATGAGCAGGGAAGGAAACGAGATCGTCAACACCACTAGGTGCATCCAATTATCTCTGTATTAATGACCGTCAGAATTGTCTGAATGACCTTGTAAATCGTCCTGTACAAGTGTAGGAGTCAAGAGATTCAGGGAACAGACATACTAACGCGTGAACGTATACCGGAAGCACAGACAGAAAAAGCCGTACAGCTCTAAAACATTAAACAATTAAACAACAAATATTATTTCTCTCAAAGTTGTCATTGTCGGTCGTCACGTTTAGGGAAAACAATAAGAATAATAAAATCGCTTAATATTGACACGAATAATGAATATTTAATAATCACTCCGCACAACTATTCTTAAGGTCGAATCCGTGAAGATCCGGGTGGGAACTCATCTTTAGCAACTTGTTCTTACCATAAGAAGCGACCAATGGGAACGGGTGATCAGACTCGCTGACATGGTTGACACACGTCATCGTATCCCAGTTGCGTACATCGGTGCTCGAAACATCAGTCACTGGATTGCCTGGTCCAGACTTGATTAGGAATTAATTCAAAGAACTAGTTAACGTAAGGGGATAATGCTTCAGTTAAATGTGCGTATGTTTTTTGTGTGAAAAAATACATTTTCAATCTAAATACGATCTGTTTATTTCAGTTCGCGTTTTGGTGTTGTTTCAGATACCATACTAATAAACACGCATTACAAACACAGCTCCGCGCAGGGATGTAGGCATCGCTAGTAATCCCACACCTGTTCTCGCAAAGGAGCGCGCGCTTGTTTTCGGATGAAACTTCCAGTCACTCGGTGCAAATTCCTTGTCTGAAGCTAAAAGGGATTCTTACTTCATTCGCTTTCATCTCTGAGAGACTAATTATAAACCTTCCTCTTCCTGACGGAATATGATGTCATCTTAATAAGTATGAGAATCGTACACAGCCCACCATTACACCGAGCGACCGGCGTGCTGACCTTTGGCAACAAGGCGTTTTATTTTGGTTCAACTTCCTTTATGCAACCTCTGACCCATAGAACCAGGAATGTGGAAATAAATCATTCCAGTTAAAAGTTTGTTTTATTGCCGCTAACCCTTGTTATGGCTCTTATGAAGGGAAATCTCTCAGCTTCTGCTCTCCGCTTAAATAACCAAACAGTGTTTTGCTTTCCCTCTTTAGATTTCCTACATTCCTGTCATTTTAATAACATTAGCAAATTAGAATATGATCTTTTTGTTATCTTTTTTCTCCACAGTTTGTGAATGTGTTCGAAAGGTGTTAAGATATTTTTATTTCGCTAGATTTGAGCCCCAAAAAGAGAAGAGCCCCCAAAAAAAAAAAAAAAAAAAAAAAATAAAAATTAAATAAATAAATAAAATATACAAATAAACAAATATAAACAAATAAACAAATAATATAATATAATAGAATATAATAGAATAGAATAGAATAGAATAGAATAGAATAGAATAGAATATAACATAACATAACATAACATAACATAATATATATTTAATTATAATAAAATAAATCTGAAAAGATTAAATAAAATAAAATACAACCCCTTCAGAACTAACCCAAAACCCAAAACGTAAGACTGAGAGAAACCTGGGTGAGTGAGTGAGTTTTACGGAGTTGTAAGGAACTATGGCTATAATACAGGAACTAGGACAATGCGATCAAAGAATGTTAATTAACAGATAGTGAAGTCCAACACGACCAACATGGTGGTAATGGTATTCTAGTATAAATATAGTACTCTACTCGTGAAGATCCGGGTTAGAATTGGTCTTCAGTAACCCATGCTTTTCGTAAGAGGCGACTAGAGGGATCGGGTGGTCAGGCTCGCTGACCTGGTTGACAGATGTCATCGTATCCCAATTGCGTAGATCGATGCCCATGTTGTTGATCATTGGCTTGTCTGGTCCAGATTCAATTATTTACATATCACCGCCATATAGCTGCAATATTGCTGAGATCGGCGTTAAACAAGCAGTCCTATTATGGTACATCGGCTGGTTGTCATCCAAGATATGCCAAACATTGGTAAGAGTGTAGTAGAATGTCCTATAAAAAACTGAAACATTCTAAATGCGCTGTTCCGCATAGCCTCTGCCAACGCCACTGCATGTACAACCAAAGTGCTATAGCCCCCAAGAGCTAAAGTGGCGAAGAAAGACCCCCCAAGTTTCCGGCCCAATAACAAACGCGGCATACCTGCACGACAGTACACTCTCACATGCCTCCTCATCGTTTATACAACGGCGTACTTAACATCGTACATCGTAAATCGTAGTAGTCTGACTGCACCAGTTGTAATTAACAGA